GACTGGGAGCCCGAAGATCTTGGAAGTTCGGGTTTCAGGATTCAGGACTAAGGGCCCGAGGCTATTTGGGATCTACGTAGGGCGGTGATTTGGGATGTCAGGAGTTAGGGTTTTAGATCTTAGCGATGCTCAGCAAGCAGGTTCGAATGCCTTTATCTTTTGTCTGTGTTTTGAATGGGGATCTCTAGCATCGGCCTGAGGCTGCAAGATGGTTGGATGGTCTAACTACCCGAAACTACATCGTCACAATCACAATCATAATCATCATGATCATCATCATCATCATCAGCGTCATCAGCGTCATCATCATCACGACCACCACCACCCACCACCACCCACCACCACCATTTTCATCATCATCGTTGCTGCTGATGCTTTAGGTATGCTGACATAGCGATTGCTTTGATTGTAATTTAACGTGCTGGCCAAGGCGCAAACCTGATGCAGTGGAGGTCTTAAAATAAGTGAACCCCCAGCATCGACTCTCACAGCCGGACCCTGCGCTAAACCCGAAAACACTGCAATGGCCCATGAAGAAGCTACGCACCTGGCATCGGACCTGCACAATCCTCAAGACCCTTCGCCTTGGACTTCAAACCCAGCGTCAGCAGCTTCAGCTGCTTCCACGCCGACCGTGTTCGTAAAATATCGGCAGGTTGCAAGCCCTGCGACAGCGTTTTCTTATTGGGATTTGGGGGTGTTTACATTCGTTTTCGCTTCAAAGTCAAACACCTGCCGGGCTACTGAATGGCCTAAACTAAACCTATCTGGGTCAAAGCAACATTCACCATGACAATCATGATGGTCGCCATGCAGCATCCCAACTGGTTCCCGTCCCGAAGCCAAAAACCCCCTCGCCTAGGATCAAGAGATTCGTAATGATTTACATAAAGGGCGACGGTGACTGGCCTCAACAAGGACCAATCCTTGAACCCGTGACTTTCCACACATATTCGCGGCTTAAGCCTAAATTTTCAGTAGTCGTGTATGCCCATAAAGCCATGGGCAGACCCAGTGGGATCCTTCAGTAAGACCCCAGACCAGGCGCTGAGTCCCGAAAGTTCGAACCTCAGGCCCGCCCCCTGAACAAGAAACTCCATAACCCAGCGCCCCAAACCCCAGAATCACAAAATCAAGAAAACCCGAGAATCTTCAAACTCCAATACCAAAATCCCCAAAGGCCCTACCTTACCCCCCAACTCCGAGATCCCAAGATGCCCAGAATCCAGAAAACGCCCAAAGCACTTTTCCAAACCTCCAGGTTTGCCCTAAACCCTGAACCCCTCTAAACCCGAAATCTTAAACCCTAAACCCTAAACCCTAAGCTCTACTCCCTGAGCCCTAAGCCCGAACTTCTAAACTCTGAACCCCCCCAAAAACAGCCCTTTCCCAACCTCAAGGGGATCCTGGCCCTTAGCAGACCCTCGTGGGGAGAGAGGTGCAGCCACCAGGAGCGCCTCGATAAGGGTTCTTTCAGGGTTTCGGGTTTAGGGTTCAGGGTTTAGGGTTGAGGTTCAAGGTTCGGGGTTTAGGGTTCAGGCTTAGGGCCTAGGGCTCAGGGCTTTGGGTTTTAGGGTTGAGGGTTCAGGGTCATGGTTGATTAAGGGTACCTTGAGTGTTCTATAATAGCGCTATGCAGTCTACAAGAGTTCTAGAACGATAGCATAAGGATTCTATGAAGGCTATGTAAGACTTCGACAGCGGTACCATTAGGGTTCTATAGAAAAAACATCGGCTTTCTTGGGAAGCTGGGATTTTGGGTCCGTAATGCAAATCATAGCCTAGCGTACTAGAAACCTGCATTTTCCGGTGTCCGAATACAAGCCTTGTTTCGAACGAGCTTGAAGCAACACAAGGAAGTAGGTTTCCGTCGGTTAAGGAAATGTATAACTTTATCCGGGCCTCGGGCCCCACATGGGCCCTCGGGGAAATATGAGGTGCAGGATGGTCCCTGGAGTTCACAGCTGGGTCTAAGGGTTCAGGGTTTAGGGGTGTGGGGGAGTTGCGGTTTTAGAGCAACCTCAAAAAGCACCGGAGGTGAGCTTCTACACTGTGGCCTTTGGACCTTAACCTCGTCTCACCGTGTTCGTGACTCTGGAGGAGTGGGATGCGATATGCTCCAACGTCGGCCAGTCAAGTCACAAAACTTCTCTCAGACCTCGCTTCACAGAACCCCAACACACACACACACACACCACACGCATACCCACAGAGAGAGACACCTGGAGTAGGACTAGGACCCTGCCTCGCACGCGTCAACGAGGTTCTGCCCAGCTCGGTACGAGCGAACCTACTTGAGGCAGGAAGGCTGCATGGAACAAACTGGATGAGAATATCACCAAACACAGCAAAAAAATCAGCCACGCATAGTACCAACAGTTGATGAGTTCATGAATCCTTACGGGAAGGACACAGAGTGCAAATCATCAGGCCTATGGTGCAATGATATGCTTAGGGCTTAAGGTTTCTGGGAACCCTAAACCCCAGGCTGTGTTCAAGGTTTGCGGACAGGACAGGGTTTAGGGGAACGCCTAAATCAACCTTGGGCCGCAAGAACTGTCGTGCTGAGCCTCTGCGCAGTGTTCTGCCACTCAACGTCCATGTCATGCAGTGCCAGGCCTGTAGCACTAAGTCTGCGGTCACCTGGATGATGGAGGCGACCTCAGTCACTTGGGGGTTCGAGCGGTGTGAAGTTAAGAGCTTTAAGAGCTGTCTGGTCTGGGCTTTGGATCGTGGTTGAAGCCTTGCGAGGTTTGGTGGGCTGCGCTTCATTGCTTGGTCGCTGTCATCTTCGTACACCATGCAGCTATACTGACGACCTATTTCCACTTCCCCACTCGAAAGCACAAAAGATGTGCATAAACCTTAAGTTCATGTCCAAAACCCATGCGCGTCTCTGGAGAGCCTTACAAAGGTACCCGAAGTTGGCGACCTCATTTCATTGCCTCGAGTCGATCTTTGTTCCACTCCGAAGCCTTCATGTGCTTACGGAGTTGAGCTGTAGGAACTTGACTAAAACAACCTTGTCGCAAAAGTACCGGAATGAGATGATCCAGCTGGGGAGCCATGTTGAAAATCAGAATCAACCGGGGGGTACCATGGGTTGCTTGATCTAGTTGTCTGGTTCTTGTGATGGAAGCTTTAGATTTCTGCCGAGCTGCGCATGCTGTCATACTCAATAATCTTTCGGCAAGCTGAGGAAGCATACGACACTATGAGAACAAAAAATCTGGATCGCGACCTCTTCTGAAATGTCATTATATCATTCATCCAGAATCCTTGACCCAATGTCGATCCTGATGCCCATGGCTCATGGCCTCAAAGTCGCAAACCTTCAAGCCAATAACAAACCTACGCCCTCCCTCAAAACCTAGATCCAAAAGCTCAGGACTCAAAACCAAAACTTGGGGCTCCGGCCAGTGCAAATCCCAGGCAAACTGCCAGCCCTTCGACTTGGACTTGCTTCCTAGCTCGAAACATGGCCTTAGCAGAGGTGGCAGAAGGGGGTGACTTTCTGAGTTTGAATCAGCTAGGGCAGATACACAGTAGGCCTTTCAACAAACTAGGCTAAGGATGACTTACGGTGGGCTCTACAGGTCCAGGGAGAGGGAGGAGGTTGTGCAGACAGTCCGTGCTAGGCTAGGCCATCCAGGCCCCCCCCCCCCGCTTTGAACTATTCTGACATATCTAACCTCTGGGGGTTTTGGACAAGTTCAATAGTTCTGAAATTCTGGTGCCCTTAACACACGACGCCGTAAACTACAACTTCATGAAGTTGAGCGCCTCGGTGGCACAAGTTGAAGCTTCCCCGACACTCCAAGACCTGTTCCTGCGGGAGGGCTCTTAGTTGCTGTCTCCAGTTCTTTCACTCTTGCGACCAGTCTTGCGGAAACAGCACAGTCGCCCTACAATCGTTCTTCCTGGCATTTCCTGCCCATAAGTGCTGCCACAAGGTTTACAGAGTTTGGGCAGTGCTGCTGCGCCATGTATCGAATGATATGCTACGGTGCAACCAAAACTGATGAAGCTGCAGGATCTCAGATCTCCCCCACAGACCGAAGCTCTAAGCACACAGCCACCATTCTGAAATGCTTCTTCAACTTCCAAGTCTGGGTCAGGCACCATTTGGATCAGGATCAGCATGCCCAACCTTGGTTGCTCTTGGAATTTGTTCATGATTGTGCTGAAACCTGTTGACTTCGTCCCTTGTCGTGCTTGTAGTCAGCAGCACGGTCACACAGACTGCATTTACGCCAGCTCTTGAGTGCTTAACCAAGCTCGAATAATACCTGCTTTCGGATGCAGTAAAAACGGAGCCCTGCGAGGGCTATCCCGGACCGTGAAACTCTCGAGGGTGCTCAACTTGAAGGTACAATCTTCGAGGAGCCAACAGGTAAATTAATTTCGTGTCCAAGGATAAGGGAGGACCTCGCTGACGCGCTGCCTGCAAGAAGCCACTTACATGCCCTCAACCACAAACCGAAAGCATCACAGCCATTGGTGATATTAGTCAACACCGGGACCTCGAACATACACCCGAAGCGGTGGCGTCCTCAACGAAACGCACCGGAAAAGCTGAACATGTGGCATCTGCATCTTTCGGGTATCCGCCGAGCCACAGGATGAAATCGCAAACCCAACAGAAGATCTGGAGTCTCATCGGCGAATCCTGGACGGAGAACTTAATTACCACTACTTCTTTCGACGGAACCAACTCGTTCAAGGCAAATAGGGTGCAGGGTTTACCGGTGTACCGCCGAAATGGACAGCACGGCTTTCCGAAGCCCAAGTCTGTCACGCAGCTTAACTTGAGTCACACGCCAGTTCAAGCTCGACACCTCGCTACGTGATTAGTTTCCCAAGACAAAGAAGTGTTGTGCTTGACTCGACTGGGGTTCCCTCGAGATACCTGACCGCCAACAGGCGCCACAAGTTTGAAGAACTCGCACGTGATGGAGAACTCCGCATGCCCGGCAGAACTGGGTCATACAGCAACTTCCTTATGAATGGAACTGGAAAGTGGAACTGGCATTGTTCTTTCCTGGAAGCAGCTGACTACTCCTAAACCCATCCACCATACAGTCACCCAGCCCAAAGTAGGAATCCCTGAAATGCTGCGAATTCCCACAGAAATGGATCCTGTAAGCTGAACATGGAAAACCTACCTGAACCGCATGAAACCGATGAATCCGTGGAAACCTCTGTCGACACCCCAAAAACGCAGGTCGGGTCCTGCAGAAACAGCGACCGCAGTGACCTCTCATCGCGGCCGTGCACACTCTCGAAGGACACGCTCGGCACTTCCTGGTAACAAGTGGCGACGGGTTTTCCTCTGGATGCCTCGGAACCTATATAATTTATATTTTTGTTTAAGGCAAGACGTTTGTATGCCTAATTCTACACTAAACTAGGTCTGAACGCAAAACCTCTAAACCCGAAATCGGAACCCCGAACCCTGATCGCTGCGTTGGAAACTTTTCGTGAAATCCTATAAACCTCAAAACCTAAAACCCATAAACCCTAAGCCCAATAACTACCAAACCCGACAGCTACCAACTCAATAGAGACCATGTGGATCCTTTATAGCAAGTGACCCTTATAGACCACATAGTAACGTTTACAATATAGATACCATAGAGACACCCAAGCCCTAAACCCTCAACCCCTCAAGGCCCCTCAATATCACAATCTCGGCACCTTCAACTTCGCAGCCAGCGCGGGGCCATCGCGTCCGACAGCCAGGAGCGTGTGGCTGGCAGGGTTAAGGCTTATAATATAGGGAAGTAGAGTAAGGATTTGGGGTATATTATACTGTAGTTATAGTAAGAAACCCCCAAAACCCTATTCTAATTATTAAGGCCCCTACATGAAGGCTTTAGGCGTCAGGGTTTAGACTGCATGGGTTTCCGGCGCAGGGCTTAGGGGCTTAGAGCTGAGTTTAGGCGGCAGGGGTTCATAAGGGTTTCAGAACGGGTCGATACCCGGACTGATGAGGGCCTGTAAGGGTTGTAGACCACGGTGTTGGCTTTAGGGTTTAGGGTTTTAAGAGGCTTCTGTTGCGGTACAGGGCATGCTCGATAACCCGCGGCCAAACTCAGTCTCGAGCGACCAAAACCCCTGATTGAAAAGGGCTCCACTGGAAATCTTCGGAACCCTCATCCTCATCCAAGAAGAAACCGTCTCCTGCCGATCCTTGCATCCCCGAAGACGTGCTCCAGGGCCCCTGATATAACATAAAAGCCCTGAGAGTAAGCTGTACAATAGAGGAGCCCCAAAAGCCTAACGTAGGGGCCTTAATAATTAGAACGGGAGTTTTCAATACTTTAATTATAATAGGGAACCCTGAGGAATCATACCGGAAATTATGCAGAGAAGCCCCACGACCGACTCCCGGCTCCCACCGCCTGTTCAGGTACTCTGCGGCTTTGCAGAAAAAGGGCCCCACCACCTTCAAAGACGTGGGCTCAGGGGCTCCGTAGATCATAGTCACTGTATATCCAAGCTTGCCTCGGAAACCCTTGCCTTGACTTCGAAGACGAATTGGTGCTGCACTGTACTATGATTGTATAATAGCGAACTGCTGGATTCCAAGCATCGAACTTTGCAGTTTACACTTTTGTTAACCGGAACCTTGAATCACACCTTAAAGCCCCAAACGACGAACCCTGAACCTTCACTCAGTTGATCCAACCGCAAAACGCCCTAAACTCCCGGAACAATCAAGGCCCGAAGCCCTACACCCTAAACCCCTCAACACACAGACCCTGAACCCTACACGCCAAACTCATTGCCCATAAACCTCCGAACCCTAAGACCTAAAGCCCCTCCTTGAACAAAACAGTGTAAGCTCCTGAACCAATGAACCCTAGGCCCCCTCAGCCAATAAACCCTCAAGGGCCGAAAAATTGAGGGGCCCAATAAACCCTGAACCCGAAACCCCCATAGGCTCTAGTCTCTCCTCGACGCTTCTTTTCTTTATAACTAACCCTAAACCCTACACCCTATGCATCACTTGGGACGAGAGGCTGGGATGGGCAACCAGCAGAGGGCCATCAGGCGCCAGGAGGCATCGGACATCGCTCGCCAGGAGACCTTCCACCGGGTAGTACGGGGGTTTAGGGGTTTAGGGGTTT